CTCATGATGCTCGCCTCCCGCTTCGTCCCATCGGCGCAATCACTGGGGCGAAGGGTTTTTGCAAGGGGCGAAGGGTTTTTGCAAGCGTCTGGAGCTTAGGGGCCCATCTGACCGGAAAAGCACCCAGCTGATGCTCATGATGCTCGCCTCCCGCTTCGTCCCATCGGCGCAATCATGGGGCGAAGGGTTTTTTGCAAGCGTCTGGAGCTTAGGGGCCCATCTGACCGGAAAAGCACCCAGCTGATGCTCATGATGCTCGCCTCCCGCTTCGTCCCATCGGCGCAATCACTGGGGCGAAGGGTTTTTGCAAGCGTCTGGAGCTTAGGGGGCCATCTGACCGGAAAAGCACCCAGCTGATGCTCATGATGCTCGCCTCCCGCTTCGTCCCATCGACGCAATCACTGGGGCGAAGGGTTTTTGCAAGCGTCTGGAGCTTAGGGGGCCCATCTGACCGGAAAAGCACCCAGCTGATGCTCATGATGCTCGCCTCCCGCAATCACTGGGGAGAAGGGTTTTGCAAGCGTCTGGAGCTTAGGGGCCATGAGGCCGAAAAGCACCCAGCTGATGCTCATGATGCTCGCCTCCCGCCTCGTCCCATCTGCGCAATCACTGGGGTGAAGGGTTTTGCAAGCGTCTGGAGCTTAGGGGGCCATGAGGCCGGAAAAAGCACCCAGCTGATGCTCATGATGCTCGCCTCCCGCCTCGTCCCATCTGCGCAATCACTGGGGTGAAGGGTTTTGCAAGCGTCTGGAGCTTAGGGGGCCATGAGGCCGAAAAAGCACCCAGCTGATGCTCATGATGCTCGCCTCCCGCCTCGTCCCATCTGCGCAATCACTGGGGTGAAGGGTTTTGCAAGCGTCTGGAGCTTAGGGGGCCATGAGGCCGAAAAAGCACCCAGCTGATGCTCATGATGCTCGCCTCCCGCCTCGTCCCATCTGCGCAATCACTGGGGTGAAGGGTTTTGCAAGCGTCTGGAGCTTAGGGGGCGGGCCGAAAAAGCACCCAGCTGATGCTCATGATGCTCGCCTCCCGCCTCGTCCCATCTGCGCAATCACTGGGGTGAAGGGTTTTGCAAGCGTCTGGAGCTTAGGGGGCCATGAGGCCGAAAAAGCACCCAGCTGATGCTCATGATGCTCGCCTCCCGCCTCGTCCCATCTGCGCAATCACTGGGGTGAAGGGTTTTGCAAGCGTCTGGAGCTTAGGGGGCCATGAGGCCGAAAAAGCACCCAGCTGATGCTCATGATGCTCGCCTCCCGCCTCGTCCCATCTGCGCAATCACTGGGGTGAAGGGTTTTGCAAGCGTCTGGAGCTTAGGGGGCCATGAGGCCGAAAAAGCACCCAGCTGATGCTCATGATGCTCGCCTCCCGCCTCGTCCCATCTGCGCAATCACTGGGGTGAAGGGTTTTGCAAGCGTCTGGAGCTTAGGGGGCCATGAGGCCGAAAAAGCACCCAGCTGATGCTCATGATGCTCGCCTCCCGCCTCGTCCCATCTGCGCAATCACTGGGGTGAAGGGTTTTGCAAGCGTCTGGAGCTTAGGGGGCCATGAGGCCGAAAAAGCACCCAGCTGATGCTCATGATGCTCGCCTCCCGCCTCGTCCCATCTGCGCAATCACTGGGGTGAAGGGTTTTGCAAGCGTCTGGAGCTTAGGGGGCCATGAGGCCGAAAAAGCACCCAGCTGATGCTCATGATGCTCGCCTCCCGCCTCGTCCCATCTGCGCAATCACTGGGGTGAAGGGTTTTGCAAGCGTCTGGAGCTTAGGGGGCCATGAGGCCGAAAAAGCACCCAGCTGATGCTCATGATGCTCGCCTCCCGCCTCGTCCCATCTGCGCAATCACTTGGGCGAAGGATATGGCCGAGCCGGGAATCCAAAAGCCAAGCCCACCGATTAGAGCATGTCGAACACACGCCTTTATTGCTACCATTCTCTCCTTTTCTCTCCTTTCGCTCACTCAATCAATAAGAGAACGACATGAATAACATGGCATCATTCTAGGTGGCAAAGGTGAATGCACAAGATAGTAGGAATATTGACTCGCTTCAATGAAGGACCATAGTTTGTGATGCTTCAATCCTCTGGTATTTGCAGGGTCTCATTCGGAAAGGGTAGGGTCTGATGCTCTCGGAGGAAACTTTCGACTACGTCATCTCCTACGCTTCGATCTACCACCTGGAGAAGTCGGACCAGTGTGATCAACTCAGTAGGGCAGTTTGTTAAACGCAGATTCACAAACGCAGGTAAAGTCACTCTTGTCGTGGTCCGAGGGAGCAAGAAGTAGGTAAACAGCTGACTGAGTCTGAGTCTGAGGCAAGGTTGGCATCCAGCTTGTGCGAAAGCTGAAAATTGGAGGCTGAGGGAGGGCGCTGATTGAGCTAGGGCGCCAGTGAGAAAGACTGGGCTTGTAAGCCAATGCAATGCATCAATGTCACCTAGTTTTTGCACCTTAGGACGGAGCCTCAGAGTTTCCGAAGCCCTACGAAGCATCACGGTGGAGGTAAGGCCTTCCTGGGCTGGAACCACGGCCCGGTCATGAACAACTGGGCCCATGGGAAGCACTGGGAAGTAGATTTTAGGGTTTAGGGTTTAGGTCTTCAGCTTCGGGCTCGTTGTATCTGCGGATTGCGCGGAGCTTGATAAAAAGTGTGGGCCATGTCTGTTGTACGAAGGTCTCCCAGACGAGGGTGCTGAGCAAAAACAAAAAAACGGAAACTGACATGTCGGAGTCCTCGAAACGGCGTTCTAAGTTCTAAGTTAAAAGCGCATCAAACGCAAAGAGTTGATCCTAGATGTCGCCACACGACGCTGCGCTGGTTTTGAAACATTACTTTAAGCACCCCGCGCCCCTGCACCGCGCTTTCCATTTGGGTCCTAGGGTGGGATGTCAGCCTCTTGAGCCAGCGAAGCAATCATCACAGAGGAGCCATTGAAACTCATGACGTTGTACGTATCACCGACAAAGACCTACCAACCGAAAACTTGCATTGCTTGAGTGTGAAAGTCGAAAGAAACCACTGTGGAACCCAGGAGTGGCTCAAGTGCTTCAAGGACAGCGCCAGCCCCAGTGCTTTACGAGAGGGCCCCAGTGGCGCATCCGTGCTTCAACATTGCGTGCCATTTCATGCGCTCATATGGTTGATTCACTTTTTTGCCTGTCAACATCTTGTAAGTGGGATCCTCAGTTCGGGGTATGCAGTTCCTTCCACTTCTGCACGCAGCTTTCAAGCTGTGGTCAGGCCATACCTTCGTGCAAGAGAACGAAGGTGTCGCCCCAGGCGGGGTGGAGGTGGAGTTCGACGCCGTCGAAGATGGCGCCTGGGCAATGATAGGGGTAGAGCATGCTCGTGGTTTGGTAAGAAGCTCCCTGTACCCTTGGCCCACCACTGGCCCACGGCACTTTAGAGCGCAAGTGCATCGGACAGCCGCACGCCATTAATTGGGGCCTCTGCCAGCTTCTTGGGCTTATTCTCCGGGCATCTTGCCGCCCCTTGCTTGGCCTCCTTGTGCCCAGGGATGCCGAAAACAGATTATCCCAACCACCGAGAACCGTTGAACCGCCCCACTTCCCCTTGGAAGTAGTTCGACTAGGAGTCATCAGATGCCTTGACTTCGGAAAGGATACCTGTTTCCACCCGATGCTCAAGTTCTCAAGGACCGGGCCATGTGCTTCCTTGCTGCCGACAGGCTTGCTGCTGAGTTTTAACCAGGACAAGCGGTCCTTCCTATACCAGTACCCGGCCTACTCCATCTTCCTGAAGCGAAAAGGGTGACAGCGCAACGCCGGGCAAACATCGAAAGGATCTACGAGGCAGGTTGCATCGAACCACGTGATGTCGTCGTAAGCCCCGTAGTTCCGCACATGTGTGGACACTGACTGTGTGGCTTGTAATGGAATGTGCCTTTTGAATTCACGCTTTCCACGAGCAGTGACTTGTATGGCCTTGCAGCTTGTTTTGCCAGGTGGCCTTGCTGACCAGCTGAAGCAGTGGCGAAGCCCTTGTCACGGAACGAGAGATCTGAGAGATCCTGAAGTCGCGAGCAGCTGCGAGGGCCGGCAGAATTGCTGCGAGAATCTGCCAGCCGAGCGACCTGCTCATTCTGTTCACGCACTGGCCATGTCAGCAAAGAGCAGCATCATGGCCTGCCATGTAGCATCCACCAGAATCTGCACAAGACGAACGCTGCATTGGCATGCTGTCGAGCAATGAAACCCTTGACCGAATCCTGGGACTGCAGAGCGCAGGGATTGGTTGCGACTTCCTGGCCCGTGCTGCCCCCGCCCCCGGACCCTTGAATCTCAACTAGCGATTACAACAGCAATCGCTCTCCAACACTCGATACTTGACATTACACATGGCATGTCCAGTGGTCCATCGAGCGTTCCCCTCAAGAGGCATGAAGGGCCAAGGACGGAACGAGTGAGAAGTGTTAGTGATTGTGTGCCGACGGGCGATTGCGTTTCCACGAGCCTGAGAGGCGGACTTCGTGGTGGGTGCCGACGGCGTTGCGTCCGCGGTGCGCAAGGCTTCGCGCGTGGGTCTTGGGCAGTTGCTGTGCACGGTGCCACCGTTTAATTTTTTTAATCCGTGAGCCCACCATCTCAGCCAGCCCCCAAATTCAAGTGGCCCTAGAAGTCATGGTCTTGGGGGCCTCCGAATCGTTTTGCAGGCGTTGTGTGAGCAGGGCGTGGCCGCTGAACAGAGCCGCTTTGCCGAGCTTCGGACTGCAAGGCTAGCAGGAAGCGGTGGCAACACTGGTTTCAGAGGATCCGGCAGATGAAATGAGTTTGAAGTCTCCTCTAGGGCAGTTTGATGAAGGTTCTTACAGTCAAGATCCGATGCTTGCCTTCAGGATCCCATTTTCCACACTTCAAGAAGTGTAAAGCTCAGCAATCTAGAGAAGTAAGCAATGGAACCTCTGATCTGAGCTCATAAAAAGCTCAAGAGACTAGCACACATTTTGGCAGAGCTGCTGCATGTCTGTCAGTTTGTCAGGCCTGACATGCCTTCGCATCAGGATCGGCGGCCGATCGTCTACAGAGTGATGGCAATCCCAACGGCCGAGGATGATCGGACTGACTTGAATTACTCGGCGCGGAACGACAACGCTTCTTGGCAAGCCTTGCTCAAAGACGCCCGTTAGTGGCTTAGAGTTGATGGGGTTTTGGGTTTGAGGGGTTGGGTGTAAATGGACTGCGGGTGCCCTAAGCACCTTCTTGCCTGGCAAGCACGCTGCCCTGAAGCCGCTTGGCCCTGAGGTGCCTTGATTTCGCATACGGAAAAATCGCTCACTGCATAACACGAGGTCTCAGCCTCTCACACTTCCGAATCCGCACTCCGAATCAAGCCATATCAGCCTAAGCCCCACCACACATCCGAAAAGCCGGAAGACTCGAAGGTGATTGTAGAGGCGCTTCCCAACGTCGAGGGCAGCCTCCTGGGCGTCATCCTCTTCCGGCCCACCGACGACCGCATCCAGGGCTCCTTGGGCCCTTGGAACAAGAGCTTTCGGAAATTGAGGGGGGCCCCTGTTCTATCTCCAAATAGTAAGATTCCCTTGCAAAAAAGGGGACCCCAATAAGGTACCCCTCATTTCGGAAACCCCGACATGCTCAACAGAGAGCTGCAAGTCCCATTTGCAAAGCACGGAGAAGGCAGCAACATGTCGGCAGCGCAACCCCTGACTTTTCTTGTAAAAGATTTGTTCTAATTCTGAAGCCATATGCCCCGAACCCAGTTGACATGGAGAGACCTCCCAGGTCTGAAGTCAGGAGCGGGGGGGCGCCCGTGCCTCGTTGCGCGCTGTTGGGTTTCAGCGCTTGTTGAGGATTTTGTGAGAACATAATACTGATCCCGTCTTCAGATACCTTGTGTTTTGTTTCCTTGGTTGGTGGGGGGAGGGCGAAAATATTGCATCTTCTCCTCTGTCATCAACTCATTCAGAGTCAGAGTCCCGCAGGAGCTGAGGCCAAAGCGGTGTGCCGTGGCAGCAGCGAAGAGGGTTGTCGGGATTGTAAGGGTCTGCGGAGAGGTCCTCGGAACGCAGAAGAAAGCACTCTCGTGGCCGAAAACGGTGTGTATACAAGAATCTTTCTGGGAATCTTCATTCCGGCTGAGAGGCCTCGCCTGGCCAGTCCGACTTGTGAGCGGTTACCCCCAAACTCTTAGACGCCTTTTGGAATCTTCAGAGGACCGAAAATCCCGAACTCCCCTAAACCCGGTCAGCTCGGCAGGTGGCAAAAATACCTCCTAACCCTCAAACAAAAGCCCACCGGTGGAAAACACAAAGAGTATCCTTAAACTGCCCAACAAAGCAAAACCCGAGCCTCCCTATAACAGAGCGAGGTTCCAGGAGTTGTTCCCGGAGTGGCCCACACCTCTTATCCCGGATGAGGAGCCGGCTCAGCTGCAAAGTCGAGTTCGAAGGTTGAGGCTTGTGAACGTGTGGTTGCAAGCGCCTCTTGCGTCCAGCAAAACTCGGAAGGATGGAAGAAGGCGGCACCACCAGACCCCAATATGAGCACATGGTGCCAACCAATCACACCAACAAACACATCGAAGCTGGGACCCAAACACGACCCTATAACACCCTGAGAAAAGCAGGGGGCCTCGGAGCTTCAGCGACATCTCGGCTCAGGTGGGAAGCCTTCGCCAAGAGGCGCACGCGAGAGCTTCCCCAGTTTGCCTTCGCTGGGCCGCAGCTGAGCCTAGGCCCCCCCCTGTTGACTGTGGAGGGGGGGGGACTCGGCACCATGGGTGTAAGATCCAGGCGCTTGGCTTCAATAGCGAATCAAGCCCTGTTCGAACCCTCTCCTTGAGGCTGCAGGCTACATGGGATTTATCGGGCTAGCTCATGGGCTGCAGAAGCACCGATGCCGCGAAAGCAAGGTTGCTGGTTTTTTTTTGTGCGTTCTCGACGGGACCTCCTATGGTGTAAGAAGGCCGCAGCGGACCGGCTCGATACCTTGACTTACCCTAAACCCTAAACCCTATACCCTCGATGATGTGCTGGTTCACAGTGCAGTCGCGCTCAGCTGCTCAGACTCAGAGACAGCGCCGAGTAAAAATGCCCTACAAACCCTAAACCCTAGAAACCCTATAAACCCTTGTAGGAGGCCTTGAGCTCCCCAAGAGCCGTCTTGCACAGATGGGAAGTGCTGCCTTCTTGGCGATGCCATCCACTCCGTGAAGCCTTTCTTCGGTCCCCTGCGCTGAGTGGTGGATTTCTGGTGTTCAATCGAGTTTGGTGTAGAGTTGGAGGTATTCTCGACTCGAGTTGCCAATTGTACCGGAGCAGCCATGAATTTGCAGAGTTGGTCAGTGGCCCATCTTGTGGTTGAGGCTTGAGACTGTTGGAGCCCTATTTGGGTGTTTACTACCTTCTTGCTGTCCTCATCGTGAGGGCATCCTACCTTGGGGTCTACATGAGGGGGTCCCTGATTATCGTAAACCCCCATCGGGATGGCAAATCCGGCTTTCCAAGCTCAGGTCTCGGTTTGAACAGTGGCTTCGAGGACATCAGCGTGCTGGACGACTGTGTCTCGGACGGCATGGGTGTCTCATGGTTTGGATCACCTTAAGGTGGGCAAGTACTTGCAAAGGAAATCTAGTGACTCAGGGCATGAAGCACCTCTGAGGAGCATGCCGATTCTGGCTCCCACCTTTTGTCTCCGGAACGGCTTCAAATTGGGAACCCGACGCACATACTGAAATACAGCCAAGAACCTGCATTGAAGCATGCATGCGCGAATACTTACACAAGCATACCAAAGGCTTTGAAGTTTTCAATGCGCCGCAAAGGCCAGCGATTCACTTGCATTCATGCCAGCTTAAGTCCAGTAGCTTGGACTGAGGATAGGGCTCAGGGGTTAAAACAAGTCTTGAGCCGGGTTTAGGGTTTGGGGTTTAGGCATGGCCTGAACATGTTCGGGCGCAACCTTCCAAAGCCTGCCGCAAAAGGGTCTAGGGAAAAAGGGTTTAGGGTTTAGGGTTTCGGGCTTAGCCAACATCGGCGCAATGGCGCAGACTTCTCGAGGCCTTGAGGAGACGAGCTCCGATCCGAGTCGAGCCTTGCAGCTGTACAGCAGGCCATCTGCCCAACTTCAAGCCCGCCTGGTTTTGTTTAAGCTGTTGTTCATTTTTAGTTTTATTGTTATTGTTTCTTGTTGTTTTTTAAACGCAATACGCTACTTGTGGGCATGGAGTATATCGTGATTGACATGCTTTCCGCCTCGCAAAAACTCCCAAACCAACACAACCACACTCCACAGCAACAACAATCTGAAGCCGACGCCCCTTGACCTACCTAGACTTCGATTCTATGGTAAACACGACTTGCTTTCCACTAGGCTGATTCTGTACTGTTTGATATTGGATTCGCTGTGTATCTTTCTGCCTCAATTTAAGAGATTGTCTGTTTCAGACAGCAAAACTAAATCGATGTGCCGGAAAACAAATACGTAACTAGGGGCCCAGGGTCATAAACTCGTGAAGCTATATTTTACTCACAAGGTGATTCACAGTTTGCTTGAACTCAAGCCCAAGAACTGAAAGAGGTTTTTGTTTTCTCCTTTTTCTCGCAACGTAAACTTCTAGACAAGGCTGTTCCCTGACACAGAAATCTCGCCGCGTTGGCAAACGCACGTGTTTCTTTTTTGTTGAGAGATCCCCCCGTTTCGCCGAGGCGAAAAACACATATTTGCTAGCAACGAGATGCGGAAACGACAGTTTGAACACTGATCTTCTCCACGCACATGTCGCTTGACAATGCCGAAATGCCCCATTGTTTTCAGTTGACGACGTTTTCAGCGATGCACTGGTAGCATGGGCGTTGGGCGGATGCGAGACTGCATAAAACCACGTTGTCATATAAATTCTATCCGTTGCTGCCGATAGCAACGCACGTAGGTAGCGTTAAGGACGGATACTCAAGTTCGTTCCGCGAGCGCATATATGTATATATATATATATATATTCATGTAGGTATATATTCATAAAAATGATATATATATATATATATATATATATATAGCCCTGGTCCCCAGACTCCCTCCCCCAAGTCAGCTTGCTTATAAGCTTTCTGCATGTTGGAGGCGCCGTGCTTCGCAGGCAAGATGCCTGGTCGAGTGCCAGCGCATCTTGGCTTCTTTCGGGGAGGTTGTGGAAGCGTAGGAGCACGGGTCTTGTGGGTCTTCGGTGGTGGTGGTGGTGTGTTTTTTTTTTACACAGGCGGTCTGGTTCGCATGGGGTCAGTCCAAGAGTAGTAAGCCATGATGTAGGTCGCTTGGAGTCCTCATGCCGTGCTGCGTTGGGGGCGAGGGACTGGGGGCTTCCGTCCGGTCTATGAAAAATCGACCAAGTGGGGAGGGCATACAGTAAAACAACAACTTAACCCCTAAACCCCTCTGTTAAGTTTAAGGGTTCAGGAGCTCACCGAGCTCGCAGATGCAGGTCGATTTGATCAGCCGACGGATCTCCGCTTTGCCTTGGCCTTCGTTCTTCCCTTGGTCTTGGATTCATGGCTGTGACTAACTTATTAGGCTTGAGGGTTTAGGGTTGTATGGCCCCAGTGTATGGCGAGCTGCCCGAGTTGGTTGGGTTGTCATAATTTGAAAACCATGAGTGAAGGCTCAGCGGCCCCGTGAGTGCCACGGACATACAAACAGCACCTCTTCATCTCAGCAGCGGATGCAGGTTGCACTCATTCTGGACTATAGGGGCTAGCTCTGAAGCGCACACTGGCAGAGAGGGTAGCCAGCCTCAGCACCGTTCAGGACAGCATCTTCAGCAAGATCCTGCCTTCTGTTTTCGCGCCTTCCATCCTGGCTCCTCGGCTTCCAAACCGACGTTCAGAACTCTGCGCCTCTTTTGCCAATGTCACGTGGTGTCACTCTTGCACCTTAAAGCAGAATTGGCCCCAGCCGACAGGAGCTGCCTGAAGCGCAAGAGTTAAACGCCTGTAGACGCTGAACTTCGCCCCCATGGAGCTCGGTCATCCAAAGGTCAAATGACAAGGGACCCGAACAGGCATCAAGCCGGCGACGTCTGCTTGTTAGTCCCTGCGCCCTCTCCATCCAAAGCCATGAATGCTGACGATGATGACTCTGTTAAGATATAGTGCAGATAATATCAATCATTACGAATTGAGTTTCACGAATCAGCCTCTAGTGGAAGCATTAATGCACTATTGTAAGAACAATTTTTAAGTGAATATGGCTATGCTTTAGTATAAAAGGCATGGAAAAAAAAGGTATGTCCATGAAACAGTGTGCCAATGCTGCAAGTGTGATTTGTCCTCACCACCCCTGCCAGGCCCTCTTTCAGGACGGGGAGCTCTCGTTCACGGCTGCGCGCTGGCGGAAGCGACGTGATCGTGCATTGCAGGCTCGGTTCTCATCAGTGAGGGTGGAGGGCTGCTTGCATCGCTCCGGCCTTATTCGCTGCCACTTCCTGGCTGTTCTGACCCATGTTGAATCGTGGAACATGGCCAGGTACTTCTGATACTCGGGGTCTTCTCATTGTCTGTGCTGGCAGCACGGGGCACTGTGCGAATAGCCACTGGGCATCATTAGCTTGTGGGAGCTGTCATTGAACTAGCTCATCCAAGTGCCGGTTTTTCCTACGGAGCTTTCAAAGGCAGAACTACTCAATCCCAGCATTGCCAGATCCCTGAGTTGTCCCTGTGCTTGTTGCAGAGAGGCCACCCATACTGGCATGAGCCCACAGCACATTTTCAAAGGTCCCCCGAGCTGGGCGAGTTTGTTGAAGCAGCACAGAGTACCAGGTTTGACTCGCCGAAAGGCGTAGAGGCGTAGAGTCGTAGAGCGCCACCTTGACGTCTCCGTCAGGTTTGCCATTTGCTGAAGCGGGCTGCGCCCCACCATGCTTTGGCTTGGTTGCACCTTGGACTGAGAGTGTGAGAGCTTAGAGGGTTTTCTCACCAGGGCGGAGAAAGGAGGATCTTCGGCAGGTGTGGGCGAAGTTTAGAAGACTGCAGGCCTCTGCGAAAGCGAAAGAAGAGTGCGATGGCCCCTCAGTTCTCTCAACGCAACCAAGGCACCTCCATCACGAGATGCTGTAGGCTTGGCGATTCCCCCCGAGTTCCGGGGGCGGCGTCCCCTAGTGTTCCTTGATGGCACAGGCCTGGCATATGGATTTCGAGATACTTCGGGGGGTTCTCAAATAAGACTGTAGATCATCTATCCTCCAAGCGATCCGATGCAGTGGCCACAGTTGCAGCATGCAAACGCCCTTCCATGCGCACCAGGAGCCTCTGACAAACCATGTTCTGTACGAAGTAGGATGGACTGGACCATGCTTCTGAAACTGCAAAAGAAAAGACTTCACCCTGCTCAAAAAGGCCTGTGGAGCCTGACCCCGGAATTCTTCAGAGGTCCGGCTCGAGCCTGAAGGGTTATCCTTCTCGGGGCCCCTTGCAATTCTGAGGTGCTCGTTGGCAGCCAGGAGGAAGTCTTGCGGATCCTCGCAGCTGGAGGAAGCAGGTTCAGCATCTGCTCAGACGGGCAGGCGAACCTTATTCGTTAGAGCCTTTTTCACACCAGCTCGTGGCGCTTAGCCATTGCAAAGCCCTCGTGGCTTCTGTTGTGTTTCGCGAGGCGGGAATCTTCCCCCATCGGCAAGGTTTCACACAGAGCCACTTCTGCAGAGGTTCAGAAGTTTAAAAAATAGCGTGAATGCGCGGCACATCCAGGCATCCAAACAATGCTAAACAAACCCAGCACCAACCTCACTTCTATTTAAGCCCTATAGAAGCTTCCCAAGAAATAGTCAGAGCAAGCTTTCTGAGGCCTTGGTCTTATCAGTTCATGACAAGACGTAGTGTAGCCGGCAAAAAGAGTTGATGAAATACAACTGCAGTCTTCGAACTCCTGCATTATAGATAGAGAACTGCTCCTTAACCCAAGCATCTAGCGCCGGCCATGGGATAGACAGCTGTCCTGCACGGCCTCAGGCATCGTTAGCGCCAGATTTGGGGATATCGCTTGGGAGCTAACCTGACCGTAAGCATGATTCGTTCCAGGTGTCATTCTTGGGAGATTGGAAAAAAGTCAGGCAAGAAGCCGCGTCTGTGCAAGTCTGCCAAGGTTGGGTATCACCAGCGTGTGAAGACGCCCAGCTGCCATCATCGCTGCCGCACCACACTGCTTTCGCCCAGATGATCTTAGACCCACTCGGGAAGCGGGCAAACGCTGTAATCATTTCAATGCGCCTTGCGCACTTTGGCTATCGATGCTAAAGGAGCCATTGCATTGCACTTGCAGTCCAGACCTGCTTGCCAAGCACACGTCTGAGGAAATCAATGCCTCTTGATGGCATTTCATGCTCCCGTACCGATGCTGGCTCAGTGTCGGTTTCGTAGCCTAGAAGTGTTGAGTATGCGGGATGCCGCCGCACAACGCATGATGAAGGAGTGGACAGTGTTTCGCAGCATTCTCGCGTTCATGTGGGGTCGTACTGCAGGCAGAGGGCGGCAAATGACAGGGGGTGAGAGGTTACATAGCGCCTCTTTTCGCGGTTGTCTGATGCGGTTGTGACCCGGCAAGGCTTTGGGGGATCACTGGAACTCCCAACGCCATTGGAAAGAACAGGGTAGAATGTAGCCGCCTTCGTGCGCCACCCACGCTGCACCAGTTTCACGGAGCTGAGGCCCGCATTCTCCACTGGCGGCCGGATGGCAACCTCCCTAGTTCGGTGGCGCGGACGGGGAGGCCTGAACAGAACTTGATTCTTCTTCTTGGCAGTTTCTATCAGCTTCCTGCAAGCGGACCAGTGGGTCTTGTGTAAGTTTAGAAGCAAAGGATGTCTAGGGCATGGGGTGGTTCGCTTCACTCGCTCATGTGGCTCTGTGCACATGATGTACACCAACCTGGCATGGGCATCCCTGCACCTTTTAAAATACTGGTCACGATGAAGGGGATAGACGAAGATGCGTCATGGATTTCGAGGCCTTCTGTGACACGCGTGAAGGTTCTTGGGCACCGTGGCTGCATCTAGACCTCAGGAACAGGATGGTTGCAGCTCTGTTCTTCGGGTGCAAGAACATTGCCAACACCAGTCTGCGAAAGCGTAGGTGCACACAATTGTAGCATCGCCAGTGCGCAGGCACTACGACCTAGCGGCCCTAGCGGGCAGCCGGTTCAGCTTGGTGGCCATCCGCATCCGCACTGGGAGGCCTCCGCAGTATTTGGCATCTCGTCTATGTAGCTAGTGCGAACATGCTGGGAGACGCCCCTAATTATTGTTGCAATCTTGCAAAGCCATGGTTAAGAATTCAAGAATCCTTAAACCAAGTAAGTGCATCCCGTAGTGGAGGCGGCACCAGATTCGCACCCACCTGTCCTTCATCGGCCATCCAACTGCCCCTCAGCTGACCTAAGCTGCCAGCGCCAAAAATGTGGATTGGGATCCGTGTTGACATGGAACAGTTGCGGACATCAGCTTGCAGACAATACTACGAGAGAACACGATGCTGCATAGCTGCAGGCTGCCAATGTCCAGGTTTGGGCTGCAATTGCTGCGGTAGAATTGATTTGGCGATCCCAGTTTGCTCAGCCCCAGCTCCTCCGTGAGACCGCACTTTACGGAAGCATGTGGGCCGTACCTCGAGTTTCTTCAAAGCAGCCTTCAATCTCCGTAAGCCTCGTTCAGCCTCCGGTGCTCCATCAGAATTTTCCAGAAAGGGAATCTCAGTTGGAACGGCGAGAAACAGTTTTGGCTGTGTTTCGTAGGCTGCTTGGGAAGCTTCCTCAGGTCGTAGACGATGGGGCTGGCCTCATGGTAAGGGGTTCGTTTGCCAAACCCCTTCGTTGAGGTCTGCGATGGCAAGTATACACCCGCAGAAGTCTTTCAACAAGATAGACAATGGCCTGGGCCCCAGCGACAACATCTGTGAAGACCGGAACGTCTCAGCTGAGAGCCTCATAGAAATGGAGGGCTGGAGCAAGAGTGAGAGGGTTGAGGAACTCATAATCCCGAATGTAACCTTTGAGATTCATATCAGGCCCCTGGTAGTTCGCAGCAAGAATTGTGCCAGGTGCCCGCGCAATTTTCTGCATCGCTATCACCTGGCTTTCTTCGATCTCGATGGCTCGCCAAAGGAAGCAGCCTGGGATTTTCTGGGTTGGTGGTTCTGATCTGATGCAGGCACCTTCCGCAGATTCGGCCGTTTGTCATGGCTTAATTTTCGAGGTTTCTGGGGTCGAAGTGTATATACTGGAGGTTTAAGTAAGGTCGCATGGCTTGAAGCTAGCGAAAGCCCAAAAACTCAGCACTTGCAGCGCAAGGATGCGGCCACCCGTCTCCCGGAAGATCTTCTGCCGTCGCTGCGGGGCTTGCGCCGTGGCCCCAGGTCTCAGGAGGTCTCGTGCCGAGCTGAGCCTCCAACCTATGAGGGTGCCTGCTTTGCAGCTGCCAAAAGCAGACCATGCTGTGGCGCCTCTTTGCGAGGTTAATTTCAGACAGTGCTTGGGGAGCTCGCACGAACGATGAAGACCACTGCAAGATCGTGCACTTTCAAGCGTTTAACAAGGCTCCCAACATCCGAGTAACAAGCGTCTTCAACTTGCAACAACAGAGCGTCGCCTCGACAAAAGATCCTAATTAGAGCGGAAGCCTAAAGTCTCAAACTCGTACTGTAACGCCGTGCCTTGCAGTTAGACTTGGGCACTCTTCAGGCATCGCCAGTTACTTGGTTCATTCCATCTGGCTGAGATGTTGAGCAACGAGCCACAGGGCAGGTTGAGAGTCGAGTTCAGTCGCTTTGAGCAGCGCGCGCCAATAATAGACTGAACCCCCAAAAGCCCCCCAAAAAAACAACCGATGCGGGCAGCAAAAAAGAACAGGGAACTAAACTCTGCCAGGTCCAAGCAACCAGGAGTCAGGCAGATCTCAGGAGCAACTGGGCTGCGAGGGGCTCTATGCAGTTGAGTTTTTGGGTTACCCGCTGAAGCTTCGAACAAGATTTCGCACCACCGCCCCCACCCTCCGTACACTCAGCAGCCCCTTTTTGCATTGACTTAGGTTTTGATTCAATAGGGGATACACATTCCCCAATCGACGCTCATGTCCAGGTACTGGCTGCATGCAGCAGACCATGAGCTCCGACCCTGGGACGATCTGCTCCCCTTGCGGCCATCCGAAACTTCGTCTGAATTCGGCCGAAGGGGCAGAGAATGTCTCGCCTGCCTGTAAGGTACTGGTAGCTGAATGCACAACTCTGCAAGCATTCGAAGATCCCTCTCCTGTCCTTCACAAGCCATGCCTGCAGCACGAAAGGAGGTAACAGATGAATTAGGACCTGACGAGGATGTGCCTTTGCGCTCCATCGCCTCACGAAATGCCCTTACCGCGCCCCGAAATCGAACTTCAGAGGTGGGAACCTCCAGCAGAATACTAACATCGAGAGGGGAGACAAACAAAGCTGGGAGGCGGGGGGAGAAGCAGACTGCATCGCATTAGCTTTGTTCCACATGGGATGTGCGACTGTTTGATGCTCTGCTGGTGGTTTCTGGGTTCGTGCGCCTCGTGTCGTTCGTTTACTGCGAAACAGCCGAACTTCAAGGGTACACACAGAGCCCTTGTTCGTGTTTGTTTTTTTTGTGTGTGTGTGTGTGTGTGCGCGTCCCGCTCTGCAGCGGGTCATGCCGAATCTTTCCGACAGGGGATGGGATTGCATTTCATTGTGTGCTGAGTACCTGGCTGCTGTTATGCATGGCCGTACAGGCCACCGAGCATTGCAGAAACATTTACGAAACTTAGGGGGCATTGCGCCGTTGCGGCAATCAGTCTCGTCAGCATTTGCGTTAGCAGTGAGCCTGATGGGTTGACCCTGTACTCTACATTTACTTGACGAAGCTGCAGTACCGTGAACCTTCGACGAGAGCATTCGATACATCAGTGTCAGTGTGTGTGTGTGTGTGTTTTCCTGGGGTTGTTCGCTCAGGTTGAAACTAGATTTGCTACCTTCCGTAGCAGCGTGAGACGTCAGACTTCATGCAGTCTCCGTGCTAAGGAAGCAGATGCAGAAGGAAGACGCGCGACGCACGTTGAGAAATGCACCTGGCGGTCAGCGGTTTGTAGATGTTCAACAACTGTTCAATGTAAGACTTACTGGGGAGGACGGAAGCTCGATTGTTCTGGCAGATCGAGATACTAGTATACTCAAGGGCTGAAACTGCACAACCGTTTTCGGAAGTTGCCGGGCTGTGAATCTGGTGTTCTTGCTTTAGACTTTGGCATACGGGCTGCTACACACTCTGGATGCTTTCACTGTTGGGTGCTTGCCCAGCCACCGTTAAACCTTCAGAGGTCATAGTTGTAGCAAGGGCTCGCCTGATGTTCTGGGACGAAGCCTGGCTGCTGGAAAGGGCGGGGTTGGGCCGCCTATGCGTTGTTAGACGGTGCAGAAGACGCCAACGGCTTCAGCGGCCCAGGCTCCGGCAATCGTCCAGCGGTGCTCCCAGAGAAATCACCTGAATGGTTGCTTTTGCGTGGCGCCGTCGCACATGGAAGCATTGACAAATCATCTGAAGTGTCAGATCGCAGCCCCAGAGACTGGCAGCCCATAGTAACGCCATAGTAGAGCATCCTGTATTGTATTCCCTATTCCCTCAAACCCCGAGGCCGAGGAAAGTGGTGATGACGACAGTGAAGCAGAGGTGGCTCTCACACCCAGATGACAGCAGTGCACGCTGACGTTCTTTGTTTTGTTGAGGCTTCTGAGGCAAGGGCATACAGGGCTGCATGCCAAGAGCACATGCCTCACCAAGAAAGGGATCTACTGTGTTTTGCCATCACATGCCAGGGCCCCAGCACCGCCAGCCCTGATAGCGGGCGGCGGAAGCCTACTCGCCGGGGTGGCCGAAGGGCAAGGCTGGGTCCATGTGTTGTAGGCGGCAAGGGGACGTTTGTACGTGCTCAGGCCGCCACGAATGCCCCAACATACCCCAACATACCCCAACATGCCCAACCAAACCCTTGGCCTGCAATGATGGTGATTGCGCGTTGCGGGGGGGCCGTAAAGAGAAGCTCCCACATGGGTTGAGGATTGCCAGAGCCCCGGCCCTCCTCCCCTAACCCCAATCTGCCAGCAGATGACCAGGTCCAAGGGCAAGGGCCGGCCTTGTCTCGCACACCCAAAGTGTATATGGAGGGCAAATGCTGGATGCTTGTCAGTAGTAGTACTGCTATTCTCGTCTCCTCCAAAGAAAAAAGAAAAGCCGAAGGCATCGAAAGCTGGCGGCGCTCGCCAGGCCGGGGCTTGGGATGGTGGGCTCAGGGCGCTTCACGCCTCATGGGGCGTCCAGGCAGGAGGAAGGCTTGTCCCCAATACAGAAAGGATGCGTCTCCTCCCCTGAAAGAAAGTTATCGAAAGCTCTTTCATCTCGTAATGACGGTAGCAGGTGGAGTTTCGGGGCTTAGGACTGCAGGTTTCGGAAGCACCTGGCACATCGTAGGGGCAGTTGCGTGTTCAGACCTTGGGTCTTCGGGCACGGTTCGGAACCCCAAATCCTGCGCGTTCTTCACCTCAGGCAGCAAGCTGCAGCCGAAGCAGCCGGCCAGGAGGTGCCCACAGAGTCTTGCGCGTTCATGAAGTGAACCGGAGCACCTGCAGGACATGTCAGAACCCGCGGGCTGCGCAGGCGCGCCGATATGTAATGTTGCAACTGGAAGAAGTTGTAGGAGAGTTTGGAGACAGTCTGCGACATTCCAGGGGGTGTTCAGTTCATGTGAAGGGTTTGGCGAACAAGCTGGGTCCTTCATCTGGCAGTGCCTCTGGTGGAGTGCTGCTTTGGTGCTGCTCTGGCAGGTTTCCAAGGCAAGGACCATGCCGAGGCGCATCGAGTTTGCCTTTGCGGTGGTGGAAACCTGTGCCCAAAGTGAGTCACTTAAAGTTAAAGTCTCACTCCAAGAAGGTTCTCTCCAGCCCTTAACCCACTGCCGACTCCCCCGTCCCAAAGCCCAGAGCTGGACACTGGGGTGGATGAGGCTTTCGTGCGCTCCTCCATGTCGCCGGAGCCCTCTTCCAGGGCATCAGGTGGGGCCGTCAGTGCTTGGGGGGGATGAACGGGGAAGGTTCATGGCCTCCAGGAACAGTCGGCACGTTGGTGTGGAGTGTTGCGTTTCGAGCCGTGAGCACGAAGGAAGGGAGAGCGAAAGTTAGCGGGAAATGCCACATGACTAACCTGAACACCCCCCAAACCGAGCGGAGTAGATAACCTTTGACTGTGAAAGGGTAACCCTAGGAAGCTCTCGGAAGTAGTGAACAATTCCTGCCAGACCGGCTCTCGCCCTCGACGGCGTCGCCACTTGGCTCAAGTTTTTGTTTAAGGGTTTCGCAAACTGCCGCTAACTTTTGAGGTGAGAGTGAGAGCGTCTGGTGGGGGGGGGGCAGCATGGGGCTTATTAGCGCAGCCAAGATGTAAATAACTGTGAGCTGTAAATTTGGTCCTGGCTATTGTAGTTTCTGACATGTCAGATGTGCATATTAGGGGATCAGGCTCAGGACAAAGCAGGAAAATGACGATGAGTAATTGCTTGCGACTGGCAAGGATATTTTGTGGACATTGCAACGTACCGGACACTGGCGGGCAGCTTTGCGAGCCTAAGGCCAGAGACGCTTCTGCCGGGACTGGCGGAGGACGGGGACCCGAACAGCTGACTCTGTCCATCGAGTTCGTGCCGACCCAGGGCACCGGAACACGACACTCGATCTGCTCAGAGTTCGGAAATCCCAGAAGACCTATTTGTGTAGCTGGGGGTCAAGTGCACGTTTCTTTATTGCCCGGCAAGTCTCACAGTCAAGCCCTACTTGTGTGAAGGAGGAGGGGCACAAGTTGATTGGTCGCATGGTTATCATCATCGACCTCATCCGGTCGCCGGAGTTCAATGGACAGCCGGGACCTAATTCGGCGTTTATCCGCTGGCAACCGGGAGGGCTTTCTGATCCGAACAAAGGTGCGAGATGCACGTTTCAGAAGGCGCCCGACCACACCCCCCCGTGCCCCCCCCCGCAATCCGAGCTTCAGAGCTCCGCACATCGAGTGCCTGAGGTGGGGCCAGGTGGAGTCGTACGACCCGCAGATGCAGCGATTCGTTGTGCGTGTTGCCGCCGCCTTGGGCAAATGCTGTTTGG